CATGAAAATTCAACGAGTCGCAGAGACTCAACGGCAAATGGCTCAGCAAAAGATCCTGCAAAGAAACCAAGCTCCTGGCATGATGCCTCCACATGGTCTGCATCAGGGTCCCCAGACACAAAGCCAGATGGGCATGAACCTTCCTGCAGCTGCAATGGTTGGACCTCAGGGAATTACATCCCAGACACAAGCAGCAGTGGCACGAACTCACATGGATCAGCAGCAGGGAATGATTACAACAGGTATGCAGCAGCACCAGACAGGAACTCAGACTCAGCTCCCTCAAGTCCAGTTGCAGCAGGCCCAGCAAGGAGCACCCCAACTTCAGGGGACGCCACAGCAGCCGTGGACTGGTCCTGGCATGCCTCCTCAGCAGAGACCTGGGGTAATGAACCAAATGGGTCTGCAAGGAATGGTTGCACCTCAACAACAGCAGCAGCAGGGAGTTGTTCAACAGCAGCAACAAGGGCATTCAGGTCTAATGGGTATGATGAGTGGCCAAGGAGGGGCCGCACTTGCAGGTGCTGGCCCTGGAAGTCACTCTCAGGCTGCCTTAATGGAACTCGTAAAAACCTTAAGGTTACCCAACTCACCCCATCAACAACAGCAAGTCCTGAATATACTACGTTCAAACCCTCAGCTCATGGCAACCTTTATCAGGCAACGAGTTCCTAGGTACCTTGGTCGAGGAGGGCCTGGAGCAGGAGGTGTGGGTGTACCAGGAGGACCCGGTGGAGGTCCAGGAATTATCGATGGCCAGCAAATGAATGCAAATCCTGGGGCAGTTCAAGGAAGTATGCATATGGCACAAGGAAATAGCATGCCAATGAATCAGCTTCAGCAGCAGCAGCAACTTCAACAACGGTCTATGATGAGTGGAAATTTGCAGCAACAACAGCAAATGGCAGCGTTACAGCAACAGCAGCAGCAACAACAACAACAACAGCAGCAGCAGCAACAACAACAACAACAACAACAAGGTGTTATGCCCAATCAGGGTGCCAACATGTCTAACATCTCCCCCCAGTTCAGAGAAATGATGAGGCGGCAACTGCAGCAGCAACAACTGCAGCAGCAGCAGCAGCAACAACTGCAGCAGCAACAACAACAACTGCAGCAGCAACAACAACAGCAGCAGCAACAGCAACATATGGGAAACCATGCTCAGTTTCAGCATCCTCAACCATCCCAGCAGCAGGGTTATCTTGGCCAGTCTGGAATGCCCTCACAGCAGCCTGGTCAACCTCAGCCTGGCGGTCTTCAACAGCAGCAGGGAGGGACCCAGCCTGGGACCCAGCAAAACTACTCTGGGTCTGTGTCCCATCAGCAGGTTGCAGCTGCTTTGCAACAGAGACTGCAGCATCAGCAACTCCAGATGCAGCAGCAGCAGCAGAGTGCTATGGCAGGACTTCAAGGTTCTGATGGTGGTCCTGGAGGCGGTGGTTCCCTCCAGCAGCAACCGATGCAATCCGCTCCCATGGGTTCACAATCTCCGGCCATGCTTCAGCAAGCTTTGCAGCAACGGCTCCTCCAGCAGCAACAGTCACACCTAGGAGGAGGATCTCCTGCTCAACACAATCCCATGAGCCCTCAGCAGCCCCAGCAACAGATGTCCCAGTCTCCCCATTTGCAGGGCCAACAGTTGCCTAATTCCCTAAGCAACCAGGTCCGCTCACCCCAGCCTTCGCCTCGTCCCCAGTCACAGCCGCCAAACTCTAGTCCATCTCCTCGCTTGCAGCCTCAGCCATCACCTCATCACATCTCGCCCCAGACCCAGACCGGGTCCCCTCACCCAGGTCACCATCCTCAGCATCACAGTGGCATGGCTGCTGTGCACCCTCCACAGCAACAACCGCTGACATCCCAACAGCAGCAACAGGCTAATGCGATGGACCAGGGCTCATTTGGAGCAGACCAGAGTGCCATGCTTTCACAGCTAGGTGGGATGGGAGCCTTGCATGGGCAAGGGACAAATGACATGATGACAAATAACCAAGATATGGGGTCGAACATGAATCACTCGTTAGATTTGATGTAATGTTGCAGAGCTCAAAGAACTGTCCTGATTGCCAGAGTTTGGTAGCAGATCTAGGATTTACAAAGGCTGTCATCGATAGTATTATTATTACTATTATTATTATTATTATTTAATATTTTTCTTATGTAATTGAAAAGAACTGAACTTCCTATGGGAGATACTACATGTGCAAGTCAACAAATTAAGTTAAATGAATGGTAAGTTATTGCTGTTAATATATAAAAATATATAAATATATTTTTTGCCAATTGTGTTCAAAGGGTTTTGGGTTAAGGGATGGGAAATATTTCCTCTTGGTATATGACCAGAAATATTTTTGGGGTGAAGAAGTCTGCCTTTTTTTATAGATATTTTTTAAGATTTTAAAAGTGGCATGAAATTAAAAAGCAAAATGCGTAAACAAAATGGACTATTTTGTTTTCTTTTTCCTCTAAATAGTCAAAAATGTCATCAGTTTTGGAGAGTATTAGAATTATTCTCACAAATGTAATGATTGGCATTGGTAATAACTGTTATTTATTACTCAGCTCTTTTGGTTGGCTAATAGATATTTTCTTGTTCTTTTGTTTTGGACAGTTGATGGCATATGCTATTTGAATCTCCTACAATTCTTGAAGAGTATATTTTTGTTAGTGATAGAACCTGACTATAAATGGATGAATTTATATTCTTATTTTTTTTTTTTTTTTTTTGCTTTTTTGAGGGGTGGTTGGGGCTTAAATGAAGTTTTGATAGCGTTTGGGAAACGATAATGTGTTTTCTGATGGCTTGTTGCATGGGAAATATCTGTCCTCCTATGCATGTCGCAGTTTTCCCACCCTCATACACCCTGTCCCATGAATGTTTTCACTATGCCCTCCTCCTCAGTAATGGAACCTGATTGATACTACAGGTGTGCGTAGGACAGTGCAGTGATCTCTACTGAGAAGACCAAATGCTGATAAGGGATTATGGATTTTGCAAGTAATCACCTTGAACTACCCTCTTCCATCGACTCCCAAGTCCTCTTTTCTCTCCCCGTCTCTCCAGTAAGGAATTGTTGTTCTGACTCTTCACGCACATCTCTAGTGTTCTGAACTTTGGGATTTAAGTGATCTCCTTAATGTATAAAGAAAATTCTGAACTGAAAATAAATTACTGAAAATGAAATGTCTTTGTAAAAATATATATATATATATATATATATATATATGTGTGTGAATGGAGGTAAATGGACAGATGTTTCTTCTTGATTCAAGATGCTTTGAGCTGAAGAACTCTGGGCAGCTTACACTTAACCTGTGAGATTTTTTTCTACATAAATGGAGCTCAAATCAGACAAGCACCAATGCGCCTTTGTATGTGTACTTCATTACAAGGATTTCATTAGTGTCTACTAAACCAACACTGTCTGTCATATCTTCATCCTGTGCACAAATACAGAAAGGAAGAGACAAATAGTTTTAGATAAGGAAGTGGATGGTCTTTTTGATGGTATATGACGACCTATAAATGAATTGTTTTCTCTTGGTTAAAGGGGTGCTGGATGACTACACAGAGGCAATACGGCGTTTAGACTTATTTTATAAAAATGAGGAGAACAATATTTGTTTTATAAATATAGATAGATATATTTAATTTTATTTTTGAGAATAAAAAACTTGAAGCTAATTCAAAAGTTGATATTGAATTACACTTTTTCAAAGATATTGATGATGCAACATGACACTGCTGTTATACCATATACATCCCTCTTTGGGAATAATGAGTAATATGGCATTTTGAGGAAATGTCTTGTGAGTGCGTATAGAAGTATACAGATTATGATTCACTGTACAAACCATGGCAATTTGCTTTGATCTGTAAGTTTATTTTTGTTATTCTTTTCTAAAACGGACTGGAAAACCAATCATATAGTTTTATGGATCCTAGTTTTGACCACTTTTCTCTTGCCAACACTTTGGTGCTTGCTGAGAGGAGCAAAAACTGTTGCTCTGATTTCAGTAGTTTTACTGTTTGTTTGTTTGTTTGTTTGGTTGGCTGGCTGTTCTTTTTAAAATTTATTATGGTGGTCAGACGTTTTGCCAATTATTTAATTGTACATTAAAATATGTTTGCACCATTCAAAAATAATTGGCTTTTGGTGTGGTGTAATTCTTACATTGTAGAAGTGGAGCTAAAACAATGTCAAACCAAGATGGCTTGAAACAAAGTTTATCAATCCATAGTACCACGCATTGATGATTAAATATATAAAAAAAGCATTTGTAATTGATGATACAGTTACACCAAAGTTTTATTTATTTATGACATCATAATACCAGGTTTTCCATTTTAAAGTGCAAATACTCTGAATAGCAAAAAGCAACCACGAACATTTGGCACAGACAGTTTATCAAATGTATACAGGTCACATGAAGTCAGATACTAAACAGTTGAGCTTCCAGAGATTGACATTCATAGAGGCTAAATATACATTCACCTCAATATAGAAAAATGTCTTCAGGTCTCAGTTATCATCTTGGACTAAAATAACACCAAAGATTAACAGCAGTCAAGTTAAATCTAACATTGTAGACTACTGTTCAAGATGGTGCAGAGTCATACTTGGCAAGAATATACACAAGAGGACCAAGGAACATGTCAAAAATTGCACAAACACTGATAGATATGAGATATTAGCAAGCAATAGTGTTGGAAAAAAATGCAACTTTATTTCACACACATACACACTAAAAGTAGAACATTGTGCAATGACAAATAAAACTTTTTCACACCACAATATTGTTTATTAAGTCTCAAAGATGGCACACAGTGTTGAAATGCTTTTCAGAAGTTGTATTTTACACATTTTAAGTATTGGGAGACCACTAATTTTTATTTACTGCATACGAGGTATGCAATTTAAGGTCAAGATTAGAATAATATATATGTTGACCAAGTATATCACGTATACATATATCTAATGTGTATATGTATGGACATATTTGTGATAGATTGGCTTTTCAGAATATTTAGTTGTGCAAATTACTCTGTACCAGCATTATAATTTAATGTAAGTACATGACCAGACTAAATCAAGCTTTTCTCGGCTAGTTGAATCTGTAAACTACAACACATGGCAAAATCAGATTTGTTTCATGGCCAATACAACTTCAAAATCTCATAATACTATCAGGATTGTAATTAATTGAATCATTGTCACTGTGATTGATTGCAATCACAATCCTGAAATGTTTTAACTTGATTAGAACTAATAGTGCAAATAAATGTAGTCTGAAACAGTGGTGGAAGTTGTGCAAGCGCATAATCAAAGCAAAAAATAAAAAAATGGATGTACCGATTCCCTTTCCCCCTCTGATGGCTCACACCATCCTCAGTCTCTGTAATGTCAGATCTCCAGCTCCCAGCTCCTGAAGAACCCCCTTGCTACCAAAGCCTCTCTAAAAGTCACAGTCAGTGAGTTGATGGTGATATCTGTCACAGTTACCTCCTCTGGGCCCATAACTGGACTCCAGTCCTCAGATAAAGGAGATATTGTCATTGCCTCTGATTCAGTGGTTGGACTCCAGGCTCCCCTCCTGACATGCTCTGAAACACAGAGTAGAATTTGCACATATTTACACCTTCATGTGATATAAATGTTTAAGAATCATGATTGAGAACAATCTAGCGTTTTAAGAGATACTGTTTTAGATTCTTTTAGACATTTAAGTTAATCTTTTAAATCCCTGCGTGGCTGTTTAGCTACCGTCTGGAGTGAATTTTAAAAGGTTATTTTGTCATCCAGCATCAGAGTCTGATTGCCTCTTCCCTCTGCTATGTAAGGAAAGCTGCGACAGTTGAGTGCATGAAGTGTCCAAAATTCCACACTTTGTTTTTCAGCTAATAAAGTATTTTTACTTTAATTTAAATGTAATTAATTAAGCAAATTTGCACACTACATGTCGTTTTTAGCAAGTCTGTAAATTAATACCCATAATTAATTTACCAATTTTCAGTGTCCAAATTGAACAGAGTAAAAAGTCTTTGCATTGACTTGTACTTGTACTTTTAATAATAAATATAATAATAATAATGATGAATATACTTTTATAATATATTGGTATATAGTGGTAGTAGCAGTATCCCTATGACAGTAATATTGTTGCAATACAACTGTACTGTAAAATAAATTTAAATTGTATTATTTTACTTTACAATAGTTTTATTTCACTTGCAAGAGTTAAACCCTGTTATTTGGCGAAAAGTATTACTTTGCCTACAGCAACAATTGAGCCAAGACTGCCACTGGTGCCCTTCAAAAACAACAACAACAACAACAACAACAAAGGAGTAATTTAAAGGGGTGGTATAATGCACTTTTCACAAGATGTAAAATAAGTCTTTGATGTCCCCAGAGTGTGTATGTGTAGTTTTAGCTCAAAATACCCCACAGATATTTTTATATAGCATGTTAAAATTGTCACTTTTTGAGGGTGAGCAAAAACGCACCGTTTTGTGTCTGTTCCTTTAAATGCAAATGACCTGCTGCTCTTGGCACAGAGGGCGGAGCTTCAACAGTGTCCTTTTACCGCGCAGACATGCACTGAAAATTTCTAAAACGTGCCTTTTATGTTCAAACCGAGTCAGACAAGGATGGAGAGACTCAAGAAGAAGTGACAACATGTAGAAGCAACAGGACATTTCTGAATGGTTAGTTGATGAATTTATGTAGCTTATGTGGTTATCTTCTAGTCATTGATTAGCATATTCTGTTTTGATAATCTATAAATCGTGTTCCGGGGGCGGGGTTTATGTAAATTCTAGGATTGGTGATGTCACTAACCCGGAAGGAATGTCATGTAGTCTTTTGTTAGTCCTTAAAAAGGAATCTCTTTAAAAGCAAATATCTCCCTTTGCTTTGAACTCTGAGCATTGTAACTTTACAGATGTTGTTTATGCTCAAACAGCAACATTACACACTAACTTAAGTTAGAAAAGTGAAATCATAATCAACCACCCCTTTAAAGGTGAACTAAGTAACTTTTTTACCTTAAAGTCGGCATGAAATCAAATTTGACAAATCTTCTTTTTATATGTAATATTGTAGTGTTTATTATAAATGATTTATCTGTGCACTTCATTATTTTTTTTTAAATTCATGTACCCTTATAATCTTTAATCAAATACATTACCCCTCCCTCCCCCCTCCCCCCTCGAAACGACCACTCTTCTCTTTCGGTCACGTGCAATGGTGAAAGGGTGCGGCCAGAGTTGATGAGGGTGCGGCTATCGGTGCACCGCCTCTCAGAGAAGATACATTCAAATCTGCCTTCATTTTGTTTGCAACGCCCAACCTCCAACGATCCAATCCATTCCCGAAGGATGAAATCAAGCCCCGCCCTACATTTTTTTCTAATTTCAAAAGCCGTTTCACTCGGATATACGTCACAACAAGTAAAAAAAAATGACAATCTCAACTTCCGTTTCATGCCGACTTTAACCGAACAGCTTTGGAGTCATTGTAATGTTTATATTACTGATTTCGTGTTGAATGGTGGTCGTCTCGCACCCCCCTGGTGCCTGTGAGCCGCAAAACCACCCTTGCAACTTTGGGCCGGCGGGCTTCCTAACACTCAGTTCCTCAGTGTTAGGAAGTATCGTGTGATATCAGATCTCGCGAGGTAGCGAATTGCTTTACGACAAAAAACAGATCTGATAAAATTCTGATAAAATGAGCATCAAACAGAAATAACCCGGCGCCGTATACATGTGGTGTTCGAGGCGCACATACAATACAGACTGCCGACAGTTAAACAGGGCGCGCGCAGCTCTTAAAGGGGCCATACCTTATTTCTACTCGTTACAGCTTCCATCCTACTGAACAGGTACCGGTGTACAGGGGGAGGGAATCCGGCCGTGAGTGCGAGCCATCTCTGCGTGAGTGCTATTCACGACAGTACAAGTACTCCACAGCGACTCTAGGGGTCGCTGTTTGACAAAAACGGAATTCCTACTTAGTGCTGCTTTAAATATATATATAGTTGCATGATGCCCCTGCTAGTTTATGGATCTGTTCAAAAAGAACTGTTTGCGTGATGTTCTGAACTAATGTTAGGACAGTTTTTTCTATAAGGCTGACAAAGAACACTGCAGTCTTGCCTATGTCTGCCCTTTGGCCAACTAGCATACTTACTGTTTAAAGTATTGCTGCCAGTTTTAGTTCCTTCTGGTCTTGTGTCCTCCTCCTCTTCCTCCTCCATAACCCCCTCATCATCATCATCATCATCATCATCATCTTCTTCTTCATCCCTTCTATCCCATTCTTCCTCAGAAGTCTCTCTGGATGTTTTCTTCTTTTTCTTGTGGTGGGCTAATCGTCGATATATACAAGTCCCTGAGGACTGGAGCCTTGGGTCAAGCGACCGGGTCAATTTGTGTGTGCTGCGTAGATCCATTGCGTAAATGTTCCTCTTTGAGAGAGCAATATTTGGATAGACATGCCTTTAATGACAGTTAAGCAGGGAAACAGTCACAGAAATGAAGATGTTTTAGGGGTCATTACCTGCACGAGAAGTCTTTTCGGTTTTGGCCCTCTTTTACGCCACCCCACTGATCTGTCTTTCTGTTCTCTGTGTGCAATTAGAAAATGCAGTGTGATGAATTCAAACGCTAGTGGTCAAAGAACAAGGATTTTTCATTTTTATAATTGCTCACTTTTCCTCATATGCTAAAACCAGTCGAGGGTCTAGGATGTGCTCCTCTGGCTCCCATGTGCTGTACCTTTGAAATTATAAAAACATTAAAAAAGGTCACATATTCACATTGACATGACATGTAAATAAATACCACAGCTGCTAGAGAAATAATTGTAAAAACTAAATGAAAAAAAAAAACATACACAAAAGGATCATTTAAGACATTTAAAAATAATGCTTATTCTGTCATTGTCCTTGTTATTTAAAAAGGGCTAATAATGATAATGATAATAATAATAATAATAATAATAAAATACTTACTTTGGAGGCCAGCCCTTCCACTTCAATAAATACTCCACATGACCCTTAAACATAAATAAATATAAATCAATGCTTAATAAATATTTTCATTATATTAAAATAAAATATCTGGTGATATTATATCATCAGTTAACATTAATAAAATGTTTCTCTACACATTTCTAACGATTGTTTTGTTTTTTGTCTCGAACGTGTGCGATTACGTAATTATACGCTTGCGTCATATAGAATTATGAAGGGACAACCCATAAACTAACAGCTCCTCCTTTTTATTTTAATACAGTCCTGACATCTTACATATGAGGATAAAAGTAACGGTCATTTAACGCGCGTCATTTTAAGCTGAATGCATATTTTAATATTAGTTGTTAATTAGAAGTCATTGAAATCTACGTCTGCTCACACCAATAACCTCACATGCTGTTTTAAGATCAAATAAATCTCATATTCTGTATCAAAATGGCCAAACTTTACAATAAACATTAGTTATAGATCCCCAAAGGAAAATAAAACTGCGTAGTCTCCATGCCTACGAATAGGATCACCACCCAATTCCAAAAGCGTGCTGTGCGACATGCGTCATCATCGAAGTTATTAGACTACACACACTTCCACGTTGTTGTAAGGAGACGTGTGTGAGTCCTCGCCCCTTTAACATGTTGTATGTGTGCAGCGGGCTAGGATTTAACTGTCAACAAACGCACAGCTACACGCGCATGTCACTTACCTTTCTAAGTCTTTTCTTTATGATTGATTCCACAGCGAACACTTGCTCGCCGATTGCCGAGAGTTCCATTGGTAAAGTTATTCCTCTAAAAAATAATGAAGTAGCTGTCAATGTATCTTTGTATTTTTCTTTCTTGTCGTTAAAATAAATGTGATGTGCAAATCCCATGCACAGTTATAATGGCTGCACACGTTCCCTCTCTTCCGCTGCCTTGTTTACAATTCAGTATTTTATTCTTTGCACTGCTCCATTTCCTTGTACTAGATGAGTACAGTCAGTGACTTTTTAAATCTGCGACACATCTGCAGCGCGCAGCGCGCCCCCGTGCGCCACACAGCGGATTGACTTGCGCCACTGTTGGTTGGATAAACCAGGTGCCACATTAGTTTTGTTTCACTCAGGATGTATGTGATTTATGCCGCTTTTCAGATTCCAATTATGAAATAGAGAAAAGAAAGACATTAATGTGTATTACAAAAGCATTACAATGTTATCCATGGGCAACTGGAATCTAATCTCTCCTATCCAAAGATCTATAACGTTACCTGTTTCTGAAAAACAATGTTTCTTATGCTATTTGCATTTATTTGATCAGAAATAATATTGTGAAATATTGTTACAATTTAAAATCACTATTTTAATATATTTCAAAAAAGTCATTTATTCCTGTGATGGCAACGCTGAATTTTCCAGTCCTCAGTGTCACATGATCCTTCAGAAATAATTCTAATATGGCGGTTACACTTTATTTTTTTTAACGTGCAGTTGCAGTGTAATTATACATTTAAGTACTAGGTAATATTAATTAACTACATGTACTTACTATATGGTTAGGATCAGGGTTTGGTTTAGGGTTAGTTACATGTAATTATGCCTAATTTATAGTTATTACTATTGTAAATACATCATGTAACGTGTAACAAGGACACATTAAAATAAAGTGTTACCAATATGTCGATTTGGTGCTCAAGAAACATTTCTCATCAATGTTGAAAACAGTTGTGCTGCAAAATATTTTTGTGGAAACCATGATATAGAGGGGTTGGACACTGAATATTATGCGATGCCTGGTGGCCACTGGCCAGTCTTTGCTAATTCAACCTTCCCACTCTGCTCTTATTGATGGAATGTAAAATGAGTAGAGCAATAGCACAGCTGTACAATAATGCACACAACATAATGGGAGACATATCAGAGTTCAAAAGAGGACAAATTGTTGGTGCGTGTCTCGCTGGCTCATCTATGACCAGGACAGCAAGTCATTGTGGTGTATCGAGAGCCATGATATCCAGGGTAATGTCGGCATACCACCACAAAGGACGAACCACATCCCACAGGAGTAACTGTCGACGCAAGAGGAAGCTGTCTGAAAGGGATGTCTGGGTAATAACCCAGACTGTATCCAGAAAACATTAAACCACAGCTGCCCAACTCACTTAAGATCTAAATGCGCACCTCGACTCCTGTTTCCACCAAAACTGTCTGTCAGAAGTCAATATTCGTTGCCAGGCTGTTATAGCCAAACCTTTGGTCACTCGTGCCAATGCCAAATGATGATTTCAGTGGTGCCAGCAGAGGAAATCTTGGGCTGTAGACAACGTAAAACATATATTGTTCTCTGACGAGTCCACCTTCACTGTCTATCCCACATACGTGGGAGTTACAGTGTGGAGAAGCCCCAAAGAGGCTTAACACCCGGACTGTTGCTGCCCAGAGTAAAGTATGGGATCAGTGATGGTTTGGGCTGCAATATCATGGCATTCCCTACTGTGCTTGAAAGGCACATCACTGTCAAATACTACCAAACCATTCTGGAGGACCATGTGCGCCCAATGGTTCAAACATTGTACCCTAAAGGTGGGGCCGTGTATCAGCACGGAAATGCTCAAAAACACTCAGCAAGACTGGTATCAGAATGGTTTCATGAACATGAATCGAAGTTGAACATCTCCCATAGCCTGCACAGTCACCAGATCCGGATATTATTGAACCACTTTTGGGGTGTTTTGGGGGAGGGAGTCAGGAAGTTTTCCTCCACCAGCATCACACAATGACCTGGCACTGTTCTGGAAGAGGAATGGCTCAAAATCCCTCTGGCCAATGTCAAGGACTTGACTTGTATCTGCCATTTCCAAGATGGATTGATGTTGTGTTGGCTGCAAAAGGATGTCCTATACCATACAAATACATTTTTGTGGTCTAAAACCAGGTGTTGTATCATTGCCCAACCCCTGTATTTTGTCAGGATTCATGGTTGAACAGAAAGTTCAAATGAACAGCATTTATTCGAAACAGAAAACTTTAAATTCTAAATTGTCTTTACTTTTGATCAATTTAATAGTGGTCCTTTCTTAAAAAAAAAAAAAAAAGATAAGACCACCAAAATCGTTTTAACAGTAGTGTGGATGATGTGAACAAGATAGATAATGCAGCACTACATTGTATACATACAAAGACATTTTTAATGATGTCACAGCACATTTTACATCATACATAAAGTGCCATCATAAGCATTTTATTCGAATGGAAAACAATGGCATGAGCACATGTTGTCCCCATCTCCCTGAAAAAGGGACGTGGGGATTTAGATTGTCATGGCAAAAGAATCTATTCGTCTCTACAGTATTACAAAGCACCCTGTGTATGGACATGTGGAATGTTCCTTTTAAGTTGTAGTATCTGATTTTAGTGTCTATAATCTTTTTGAAGTGTTTTACACAATGTGTTGGCTTTTAATAGGTGAAACTGAATAGAGTTGGATCTGAAGATAACCTGAGATGTATTAAACTTCCCTTTGTGTAATCTGCTCCCTCTGTAAACAGTTTAAGGCCATGTTAATCCAATATCAATCAAAGATGAATTAACTTGAAAGATTTTAGAGACCTCAGCCTTTCTAACTATTAGCATTTTCTATGTAAAAGTACATACAACTTTCATTTTTGGCAGTTGACTTTTTTTTTTTACTACCAACACTCACCTGTTCTATTTTCCTACATGTAGTCTAGGATTCAACAAGGCTAACCTTAACCGTTTAACAAGAAAGAGTGTCGAGAGCAACCATTTAAGGTAAGAGATTAACAAGTGACCATTTGGTAATTTATGTTATAGGAAACTAACACAAAACATCCAATTACTGTGGTGCCATGCTGTACTGTGATACACAGGAAACATCTCATCTGTCACAATGCCATTAAATATGTAGGGAACGGTTAAGCAGGGGCTACGGGTGTTCCTTCTCTAAATCTTCAAGTACATGCACTAAATAAGTACATATGCACCCCGTGTTCAAAAAATCCAGTTGGTTGAACAAACACCTTTTTACGGTGACCTGCAATGTGTGGCGGACAGTTCAAACGATCACATGGATGCACGGGAAATCACACGGAAAGAGAGAAGAAGTGAGGATGACAGGAGAACACATCACTAAGAATTCCATAACCTCTCACTTTCAAGTCAGAAAACAGTACAAAGTAAAAGAAATAATCAACATATAAAAAATGCATCAGAATCCCAAATACCAAACAAAATTCTCTGCGTAGTGTTTCTGTTTAGTTGTCTTGTAATATCCCTGTGTGTTCTTTGCTGCTCCAGTCTCAATGGCAAGAGTTCAGTGGGGTGTGTGTGTGTAAACAAAGTCTGAGCAGTGTGCTTTCATGACTGGTTGCTGCTCTTTACATGGGTCCCTGATTGAACCTCATATTTCCCTCCTGAGCGTGAACTTGAGATACCTCCAAAAAACAAAACAAAACATAAAAATAAAAAAAAGCAATCCAAAACATTCATCAGTTATCAGACCTCCACGTCTGGTGGACTTCCACCTCCTCTGGCACGACCAATAGGAGTTCACAGTTCTTCCCTCGAAGCTGGTGACGCAAGAACTTCCTGCGAAATGATCAGAATGACAGCTAGAGATAAAACAGACCTTCGCGTTAAAACAGGCCGCTACTTTCTCTTTTAGCATTTCACACCTACCTCAATTCATCAGCTGTTCCGATAGCATGAGGACTGCGCAGTTTGGAGTCCAAGTTATAGTAAACTCCTCCCACTTCTCGAACTCCAATCCAGTGCTGCCGTTTGAGGGGCAGTCGCAACGGCCCCCAGCGCAGATTGGATGGCACATTCAAGATGAAACCAGTGACGTTTGGCAGTGCAATGCTGCCAACGTCCCTGTGGGACAACAAATACATAGGACATTAAAAACAAAACAAAAATCACATTAAAGGCAAAGTTCAGCCAAAAATGAAAATTCTGTCAACACTTACTCACCCTCAAGCTGTTCCAGATCTTCTGCAGAACACAAAATAAGATATTTTGAGGAATACGGTTAACCAAACAGTTGATAGGCTCCATTGACTTCCATAGTATTATTTCCCATTCTATGGAAGCCCATCAACTGTTTGGTTACCGGCATCCTTCTTTTGTGTTCAGCAGGAGAAATAAATGCATAAAGGTTTGAAACAACTTGAGGGTGAATAAATGATGAAAGAATTTTTATTTTTGGGTGAATATCCCTTTAATGGCCCACATATCAATTTATTAAACAAAAATAGAATCAAAATGCAATTCATACACTACATACAATGACCCTCTTCTATGATACACCTTTTCTAACTTCTGGGGCATAAAATTAAAGGGACAGTTCAACCAAAAATTAAGATTCTGTCACTATTTACTCACCCTCACCAAACTTTTATGACTCTTTTTTCTGAAGATCATGAAAGAACATACTTGGAAGATATTTGATTCCTATTGACTTCTATTGTATGGACATACAATTGCAATATAAGTCAATAGGAACCAAAACTGTTTGATTACTGCCATTTAAAAAAAAATCTTTTGTGTGCTGCAAAATAAAGAAACACAGGTTTGGAACATTATCAGGGTGAGTAAATGATGACAGAATTTTTATCTTTTAGGGTTATTATACTGTTAATTTCTGTGTTCATAAAAATAGTTATACAACAATCTTGGTATCACAATGGGGAAAAAAGCCTTGAAAAAAAGGTTTCTTCAACAGAAGCCATTCACTGCTTTTTTGTATGAAGAATTTTTGGTCTGTCTAATCATGTCATGTGTTGCACAAGAAGGAAATGATATCAGGAGAGGAACCTGATAGATACTCATGACTTTGTGTAAAGGTCAATAAGTCTCTTAAAATATCAAATATTAGAAGGTTACTTCAGGGCAGGCAAATAATATCATGTGGTGCAACTTTTCTTAAATTATTTGAAATGCTTTCAAAACCAACAGGAATTCAAAGAGCACATTTCTTGGCACATGTGATTCAAACTAGATTTTTGAGTGTTTAAAACTACAACAGTATAATGAAATACCTTCTCTTGTCCCACCAAACAGCCTCAAACCCCCGAGTCTGCAATGCAGCCATGATTACATTCACATCATAGTTCCCATTACCCAGCATGTTTTTCTTGTGGGGTGTTACCAAAGTGCTAGGCGAGAGCCTGAAAAAGAAAGAGGAAGCAGAAGTGTCCACAAAAAAAAGAGAAAATCCCCAAATTAGATAACTTCAAATATAACAATACATCTTAGCACTGCCACTGACCTCTGGTAGATGTCCTGAAGTGCATCACGGCTGAATGCTGCTCCGTCCTGGAAGACATTGTTTAGGGCATGCAGAGCGCACAGCTCTCGATGCTGCTTTTCGTGATAAATGGCGGGAGGTTGTGACGAGGCGGGGGGCGTTCCAGCATTCGGTCTATCCTCTAGCTCAGACCCACGTCCACCAACGGCTTCTCCTTTCTGCTTGCTGACCTTCCATGGCATACAACCCAGCTCTTGAAAACCCCCGACCCCCCTCCCCTTACCAGAACATGGAGTACTCCCCATTCCTGCTGCTATGTCACCACTATCATCTCCACAGCAACCTCTCAGCTGCTTGGGATGAGTGGCAAGGGGAGGGGAGTTTGCTACTGGGATGAAAGGTGAGCCAGTGCAACTCGCAGTGAATCAGTGAAAATAAGAAAAGCACAAGCGGAAATCTTCTCAAAAGCACACTCGGTTGTGTCCTCTTTCTGTGTTCTTCATGTTGTTATTGCACAAAGACTTGCTGAGCACCATAGTAACCACTAGGGCAGAGAAGTTCTTTCCATTTTGGCTGACACCGGGGTGGAAAAGACAGCTTGACTCGCACAGCTGACCAGGACTAAATGGGTCAGCAGTGCAGGATCCTGGCAACTGCCATAGAAGACCACTGTGAGAACTGCAGAGATAACCTTGGCTTTAGAGTAAGAAAGAAACACAACAAGAGACCGATTATAAATCAGATATAAAAAAACAAAAACAACAAATGCTTCAGTACTAAGCATTAATTAGCGTTTAACCGAGTGGCAGATCTAAACAGGAACCCTTTTGACACCTCTGAGGCTAATGTGAGGTTATGCCCAGGATGACTGCATTGGGAATGGCTGTACAAAACTTCCTGCCAGCTGACAGGATGGGTGTATATGACTTATTAACGGACAGAAACGATATTCAACACTTCGTACGCAAGTTTAACAAGATATTTTAAGACATGCCCTTTTCCTCTTTGAGCTTCTCAACTACTACGTTCAGACCAATTTGACACTCTGGCTACGTGCTACTCGTGATAGCAACGGTTGAAACGGCATCTTTCAAAGTGTCAGTGTAATCATTCCCAGCACATACCTCTGTCTGCATACGATATGTTACAGTCTAGGTTGCTTTCATTCCTCAAACTTGGTGTTTTCGCGTCCACACCGTGAGTTGTTTATTCCTTTGTCTCTTGTACTTTTTCCTTGCAGCTCTCTGGCTCAACGTGAGCATGCGCAAAACGTCATTGGCTTTCCGCTGGCTTGCGTCACGGGCAGGTTGCATCCCATGGGACTGTCAAACTGTCTTTTCAGTCTATGGTCAAACGCGTATCGGTCGCCCACATGACCGACGTTAGGAAATTAACAAGACTCCCTATACCTTTTTTTATTCCCAATATAAATAATTTGGATTGTTTGTGGAGTTTGTTCTGGGCTGTATTCACCTTTTTCCTCACTTCTCCGTGGGGGGCGCCGTAGCCGCGAGTGACTTCCGGTAAGATGCTCTCAACTTCCGTTTAGTAATTGTCATCAGCTATACGACGTTACTGGTCATGGCAAATAGTGGAGGTTCTGGTAGAATTTGTGCCGTTAAAGGCTGTCACAACAGCTACAGAAAGCTAAAAAAACTTCTGGAACATGAGTGTTACGACCACAAGCCAACAAGAAGAGCGGAATGTAACTGCCCAAAACCATTTAAATTGCACAAGATGCCATCCGACGACGAGGGCAAAAGACAATGGCTCGCAGCACTTAATTTGAAATTACCGCCCCGTAATATCCATGTATGCTCATTCCACTTTGTGGACAGACAACCAACAACGGAAAATCCATATCCTGAACTTTGGCTTGGATATGATCGTCCATTAAGAAAGAAGAGAAGACAACGACGAACTTGTCCGGAGGAAGGTGAGAGTGAGACTATTCATTAACGTTATTTACAAGGCTAACGTGCAGGTCTTCACAATTAATCGAAATGTGCCTTATGATACGGATTAAGTGTTTTCAGCGTTTCCTTCAACCCTTCAGTATGTTAACTTGTAACGTTAGCATAAAAGTGTGTTCATTTAACAAATGGCTCTTTAAATGAACCATTCTGACTCCCACGCTCCTGTGTTATAGTGTTTTGATTCAGTATGACGAATCGTTTAAATGAGTCAACTTTACGCTCCACTTTGAGTGTCAATACAGCGCAGTTTATTTTATTTTTTAATTAATGTTGACATATATATTAATATATATATATATGAATGTTGTTTTTACTCTGTTCCACTTTAGTCAAAGAGGTCTGAGTAAATATTTGACTAAATTACTTTGTGTGTGTGGTCTGTTTGTTCATTTGAACAGCTACTGCAGCAGTAATAGATCTTAAATCTTATCACAGCTCGCAATGTTTTGACAAAATAATACCTGTCAGTAATTGTTTATAAGCTCATTAAGGTATGCAGGAAAAACTCAACATTTGGCCCTTCATACATGACATTTAAAAGTGTATTAGTGCTAAACTAAAATTCTGCATGATTATATTCTAAAATATATTAATTTATTAATTGACTAACTTTTTTTATTGTATACAATTTTCAAGAAATCACTTTTCGAAAAAGAAAATATAATGCCCCAGCTAATTATAGATATGGTTATAATGGTTTGTCTGTTTTTACAGGAGCTGGTGTTTATCAAGAAGAGCACACTGGAATGGACGAAGGGAGGCCTGAAGAAGAGAGTCTTGCATCTGTCCCAAGCCCCATGCAATCTAATGTTGATGACCACGGCTGTACATCTAAAAACGTTGCCTCTGTTGGAACACAATGGGAAGACCACATCTTCGAGGAGCATTGTTATAGCAAGAGACAGCACAGAGTAACTTATGTAAACCAGTCAACACAGTGTGATACAATCAAGCCTCTTACTCTGATGAGCGACTCTGACTCAAATCTGTACACCGGGCTCCCACTCCACTCATTTCATACGCTTGTAGCTGTTCTGCGTCCCCATGCGAATGTGGCATACCAGACTGAAGTTGAACAGCAAATCTTGCTCACACTAATGAAGCTGAAATTAAACCTTTTAATAGAAGACCTAGCCATTCGATTTTGTATATCAGTGAGTCAAGTGAGCAGGATCATTTCTTTTTGGATTGACACTATGGCTGTAGTCTTGAAGGATCTAATACCATGGCTCCCCAAAGAAACAATAAGAGCCACAACACCAGAGGCATTTAAGCAACATTATCAGAATGTTACCTGTATCTTAGACTGCAGTGAAAGTGAAATCCAAAAACCAAAGAACCTTGACTCAAGGTCTGAATCGTACAGCCACTACTATGCTTGCAACACTATCAAATACTTAGTGGCTATTGCACCTTGTGGTCTAGTAATGTTCATATCAGCAGCATATGGGGGCCGCTGTAGCGACAAATTTATTACGTGTGACTCTGGCATTCTTGAAAACCTTAAACCGGGTGATGAAGTGATGGCAGATAGGGGTTTTTTGATAAGAGACTTATTGTATGAAAGACAGGTCAACTTGATAATTCCTCACTTCGCCAACCAAACACAGCTGACAGAAGAAAAAGTCACGTGCAGTCGCAGGATTGCAAATGTAAGGATACATGTTGAACGTGCAATTAGGAGACTGAAAGTGTACAAGGTGTTGTCACAAACCTTGCCTATCAACCTTATGCCAAAGATTGATAAAATTCTGCGTATATGTGCAGCTTTAGTGAATCTGCATGGTGACCTGATCCGTGAAGCAGAAAATTAATGCTCAGTCTACATGTAATCAAATTTGTACATATATATTTAATCACAATACTTTACATTTTTAATTCTAAACAAATCTCAATGTTTTCTGTTTTTGTGTACAATGTACATGGATAGATATATAATTGTTAATTTGTTTAAATATTATACAACACTTGTGCAAAACCTGTAAACAAGGAACTACTATCAAATAAATTCAAAATGTTTTTGAAAACTTGCCTTGACACATTGCCAGAACCTTTTTCCTCCTAAATGTCAGGATCTATACACTTATACACAAAAAACGGTTAGTCTTTGTACAAGTTATTTATGCTTTTCTGACTATATGCAGGTATTTGCCATTCAGTTTGAGTCGTCCGGCAATGAATTCATCCACTACTCTAGGAAGCATCACAGAGAAGTAAAAGCCTCTGAGACGAGTAACCTGCTCTGCTACATACTCTGCATCATATGGTACATTTATCAGAATGTGTTCCTTTGATGACCAGACAAGTAGTTTTGCCATTCTTAGCCCAGTACAAAACATGCCTAATTGTATCTGTCTGTAGTAGCCCCTGACTCCATTCCTCTGTAATTCAGGCTTCCCATCAACCGCTTTGATGTCACTATAGCTGCTCATTGTGAAATGGTCTGCTAGAGAGGTGGTATTGTTCTTAGGGATAGGGCACTTTATTTCCAGAAGTTCTACACCACTTATTATGCCATCAGGGCTTGCAGACAGCCATGGCTCTGTCAGGCTGACCCTGGTACCTGAGACGGACACCTGTAGACCTTGTTCTACAAGAAGGTTTCGAGCTATTACCTCTTTCTCACTCCCATACTTTGTAGCCGCATTACCCCGAAAGGTAGGGAAGAGATGCTCTCTCAGGAATTTATCAGGATTTGTTGTTGCTCGTACTGGTACACCTTTAGCTGAACTAGCAGTGATTCTTATCTGTCTTGCACTATGCCAAACCTCTGACAAGCTCTGATTCTGTGTTTGAATCTCCAATATAGCTGCCTGGTCGCTGTTCATCTCTATGTAGTTGCTGTAAAATGCTTTACATTTACTGCAAGTCAAAGTCTCCCCATGTGGCTGGTGGGGTTCTACACTATCAATGTCATCTGCCTGCTCTGGTACATTTGCATTGTAACACTTTTCTAAAAGACTATTTTTTAGTTCAAACAGAGCTTTTGTATCTGAAGAACTGACTCTCTCCCTGAAGTCATGATGCGTGTCATAGCATGGTGTCGGTGCTAGTCTTTCTCCCTCCCTGGCTGATGACGCATCATATACTTCCTCAGCTCTGTGATGTCTAAATGTTATCTGGCTGATTCGTTTTTGTTCATGATTTCTTCTGGTCCCTGCATTCCATCTACGCTGCTCATCAGTGCAAGATATCCCTGTTATACCACTGGCCACTGCATTCTGCACCTTTCAAAAATCAGAGCATATTGTTTACTTCATTACTTATTGCACAGTACATCACCATTAGCACACAAAACGTTTTTTTCAAGCCAAAGAATTTTATTAATTTACATTTATTATTGTTTAAATATTGCTGTAAAAATTAATTATTCAAGTTGAATCACTCTGCACATAGTATTTGCTGTATGTTAAGCCAGACTAGCAGTGTTGCTCTATTTATAAATACCCACCTTCCACAACACAGCAGCAGCATGACTACAAGACCTACCAGGGCCAGCTACGCAGGAGCATCCAGCTGTTTCCACTACTCCGTTATTTTGTACCATAACCCACGCAATGTGATGGGGTTTATTTATAGTCTGACTCGGCTCTACCTCCGCTTTTAAGATTGTGAACTGCTGATGATTATGGCAAAGAATTCGTCCAATTTTGTTACTGTGTAAGTAGTTGTATGCTTCCGTGCTTTTATAATTTCTAAGCTCCTCGCCGTCGACACCCTCAGACAAAACAAGATAATTAAATATGTCAACATATGTGACTGATGGCCATTGTGTCATATCATCAATCCAGGAGGTGGCGCTTGTCAATTTCGTAGGATGAGGGACAGACAAAGTTACGTTTTTAACGGTTTTCGTCAAATAATCTTGCCCGTGCTGCCACCGCAAACTAATGTTGCCATTGCTTGTTGCCATTATTGCCATTAAAATTAAGTAAAAGAGATTACAAACTTTGTTTCAGAAATGTCCAATAACGCCTACATAAACAACATCAAGCTGCGAACCGGAAGTTTTGAGCATCCTGTCTACGCGCACGCGCAAAGCATGACGGGTAGTTTCGCGTCCCGTGAAAAAGGTGAATAAACAGCCCTCTAGGTCTGCCGTATTGGTTTAGCAAATCCAGACATCAACATGTAGATCTGCTGTGATTTCCAACATCTGTGGCAAATGAGTAGTCACCCTTCTGTTTGTTTTCATTTCGTGCTAATGAGAAAACAAATGACAATGCCAGATGACTTAATTCCAGATGTTCTGGAAACCCACAAACTACTAAACGGTTTATTAATGGAATAATAAAATAATAA